CCCCCCCCCCCCCCCCACCGTCCGTCATGCCGACTCCCATCTATGACTTCATCCAGGAGCATGAGCTCGAGTTCCAAGCCGGCCCAGACAGCTTCCTCGGTCACCAAGAAAGCACAGATCAATTGCCTGTCATGGTCACCATCATGAAGACGGACGATGCATTGCTGCAGGTTCAGGAGCATTCGGATGCGTGGTGAAGGCCAAGTGGAACGGCAAACCTGTCGCTGTCAAGATACTGGTGAGAGTGGTTGTGCCGCAGGAAAAAGCCGCGGAAGCAGCAATGGATGGCTCTCACGATGCAGAATCATGCGAATATTGAGGAGGTGAGGAAGGAGGTCCACGTGCTTTCACACGTTCAGCATCCCAACTTGATCAAGTTTCTCGGGCTGGCCGTGGCCGAGAAAAATGGGAAACTGATGATTGTCACAGGCACGCATCGCCCTCCCGTTCGTGAACTCTCCCACGATTGGCGCTTGCAATGTCTTGATGCCTCAGAGCACTGCATTGGCGGCACATTGCATACATATTTGGCGGACCTCAAGGAGAGACTTGATGACAGCCTTCGGCAAAAGCTTGCCGTGCAGGTAACACAAAGAGAGGCGCATCCCTGTTGATGCTTGATGGATGATGTGTACAGGTCTGCGAGGGCGTTGCTGCTCTTCACGCACACAAAGTCGTCCATCGCGACCTCAAGCCCGCTAACATTCTCGTACGCAGCTCGAAGAGCCTGACTTCTCGTCAGATTCGATGTGTGTGCGCCTCAGGTGGATGGCCAAGGAGACGTCAAACTCTCCGACTTCGGCCTGGCGAGGTTTATAGAAGGCACGAGTCGGTCAGTGGCTATGGGTAAGAGAACAACATACGTAGCAAGAGACAGACAGGCAGACCGACAGGCCGACAGGCAGACAGGCGGGTGGACAGATAGAGAGACAGATAGAGATACACACAGAGAGAGACACCGACACACAGACACGGGCAGGCGGGCAATTTCAGGGCCTACGTGACAGCGTTGTTTTTGTGTAGGGGCGGGCACACACGGCTTCATGGCGCCAGAGGCCTATGATCCAAGTAAGCAATGGCATATATATCGCCTCTCTTCTCATGGATCGTTGATCTGCCTGGCCTGCAGCGAAGCGGCTGACCCTCGCATCTGACATTTGGGGACTCGGAGGCATCCTGGTAGAGATTCTGGGAGGTAAGAGTGCAGTGTCCTTCTTGCCCTCTCAACCATTTTCTCTGTGCCTCCGCAGGGAAGAAACCCTTTCCTCAGTTGAGTGGACTGACACCGGAGCTGGCCATGGTGGAGGCCATGAGACTGTACAAGGAGAGAGTGAAGGTTCGTCTACAGTAGGAGATACTGTTCTGGACAGACTCATTGACAGCTTGTCTTAGCCTTATCCCCTTGTTTATTGACAGCCTGAGATCCCCACGGGCAAGCTGTTCCCTCCCCATGTCCGACAGATCATTGAGGTACACTGGACGAAATGGACAGCAAACTCCGTGTACGCCGTCCCTGTGCAGAGATGTTTTGACTACGAACCGAGCAAGCGACCGACGGCCAAGGAGGTGCATCCGATATGAACGGGGACAATCGTGTACCTGTCACCTGTGTCTTTCGTAGGTGCTGGATGCATTGAAGGGCCCACCCAGACCGGTGACACCGAATCCTCGGCCGATGGACAGCAACGAGGCGAGTAAGGCTGTATCAAGCTTACGCCTCATCTGTGTGTATTAGCGATGGATCGCTCGGATAGCTTTTATGAGTCAGACACTATCACACTGCCGAAAAAGCCGATATCGGTGCCCGTCTCGCCCTCGCCTTCACCAGTGCCCAGAGAGGTGTGCGAAGCCTCTGTGCTTTCGCTCCGTGTCACCGATTGGCCTGACCCTGCTGCAGAAGGACATCTTCGCTGCTGTGAAGGCTGACGATTTCGAATCTGTGACTCAGCTGCTTCAAGACCACGGAAAGTCAAAACTCGAGAAGCGAGACAATTCGAAAGTACGGGCAACTGTCACTGTCACCCGTCTGGGAGTGTTTGTTTGTTCCCGCAGAACACACCCTTCTTGATAGCTTCGGGAGAAGGCCACGACAAGATCATGCGGTTGATGTACGTCAAATATGGTGTACTGATTCTGAAGCAGAAGAACACACTGGATCAGTGGACTGCGATGCATTGGGCTGCTAGACATGACAGAGTCGAGGCTGTCATCTTGCTGCTTGAGTTAGGTGGCCCCGAACTCCTGTATGAATGCACCAAGGTAAGACAGGAGCGCTTGAAGTTTCGATGATCCCTTGTGGGCCAATGGATTATTCCATTGCAGGATGGTGCAACGGCATTTCTGATCGCTGCCTTCCATGGCCATGTCCGTACCATGAAAGAGATGCATTCCACTGAAGGAGAGGCCCTTCTTCGTCAGAGCAATGTGAGACTCACTGTGAGACAGGCTTGTGACGCGTCTCATTCTCTCACTTCGTTCTATTGGTGTTTGTATCGCCAGCACTATGGCGATACAGCGCTTCATGGGGCCGTTGAAGGAAGTCACTCTTCAGCAGTCACTCAGCTACTCGAATGGGATCCCTCCCTCCTTGAGATCAGAAACAAAAACGTAAAAGACAACGAAGAAAGAACATGAATCACGCATGTGATGGAACAGGGCAAAACGCCTTGGAATCTTGCCGCGGAGAAACCTGAAATCCAGCAGTCAATGGCCAAGTACAAGAGCTCCACCGAAGAGGTACTCATTGGCTCGCACGACAGCGACAACGCCATTTTTGAGGCCGCGAGGGCTGGTGATAGGGGGTCGGTGAGGGGCCTGCTTGCTAAACATGGACCGGAACTACTCGACAAGCAAGACAACTTGGGGGTACGACATTGTTATATGACTGAAGATCGCTGGCTCGTGTCTCCTCATTTGTGCGCTCGCGCAGGGCACTCCATTCATCATCGCTGCTCTGAAAGGACGTGTCGGTGTCATGCAAGTCATGTACAACGAATACGGCTCTTCTATCCTCCAGCAAACGAATACATCGGTACACATCCGAACGCTCTACATTGCTGCGAGATATGTTGGCTGTGATGTAATGCAGCATGGTGGTCCAGCCATGCATTACGCTGCCATGTCCGGCCATGTTGGAGCTGTCGATCTACTTCTGAAGTGGAGTTCTCCGATGCTCTACGCGCACAACTCGGTAAGACACCGTAACATGCATCCGAAAGCTCATGATACATTCCGCTCTCCGGCAGAGAGGCGACACGCCATTCATCTGTGCTGCCGCGAACGGACATCTGGAAGTGCTGAAGGCCATGCATGCCAAGGGGGGCAATGGCCTCCTCTCGCCGAAAGCCGTCGTAAAATACACGTGAAGACGCACACAATGGATGTCTTCGATATGCTCGGTTCGTTTTGTTTTCTGGTGTGTGACACACAAAGGACGGAAATACAGCACTCCATCATGCAGCAATAAATGCGCACCACACAGGCCACTCTGAAATTGTGGACCAGCTGTAAGAGACACAGATCAATGACGTCAATATCTCATCCTCTTTGTTTCCCTCTTTACCTGCTGCGAAGGCTCGAGTGGGCTGGGGCGGCTCTGCTGGACATCAAGAACAATTTGGCCAGTGCACATATATTCACATCATCGTGTGATGTGCTCATCTCATCTCATCTCATCTCATGGCAACAGGGGAAGACGGCGTGGGATTTGGCGGAGAGAAAGCTTGAGATCAGAGAGATCATGGCGAAACACAAGGAGCAAAGAGGTCAGCGAGTCTGTTTGTCCTCGCATGAGAGACACATCAAGTGCATCCATTTCTGGTTGTGTGACAGGTGCAATGAAATACGTGAGAGGCCAAGTGACCTCTCCTAACGTCGAAGTGCCACGTGCCAACGAGTATTGTTCTTGTGCTGGTTGCGTCAGAGTGACATCTTTGAAGCTGTCAGAGCCAACGACGTCCAGTCCGTGGCCCACCTGATCGACACCGAAAAGGAGATACTCGACAAACGAGAAGAGGGCTACTTTAAGGCATGCAATCATGAAGGCGATGGAAGTTCAGTTGTCTGTTATCTTAATTCATGCCCGCAGCTCAAACCCTTCATCGTGGCTGCAAAGGAGGGTCACGTGGGCGTAATGTCGGTCATATACTGCAGCAAGCCTGACATACTGCAGCAAACAGACGTGGTACCAACACAGAGAAAGCATTTTCTCTGCTGCTCTTGATAACGAGATGTGTTGGGTGTAATGGAATGCAGACCGGGTGGAATGCCATGCACATCGCTGCCAGGGAGGGCCATGCTGCGGCCGTCAAGCAGCTGCTGGAGTGGGATGCCAAACTCCTCTATTCATGCACTGCGGTAACAGAGCACATATGTCCCCGCCGCCTCAGCGTGTCGATTGTGTCTGTGTGTCGATTGCAGTCCGGCGAGACGCCATTGATGTTGGCCGCCCGCAATGGTCATGTGGATGTGATACAGGCAATGCATCGCAAAGCAGGGGGAAGACACGACCTACTCAAACAGAAGGACAATGTGACACCAATAGCCGAAAACACACGCAGAATGCCTCTCATCAGATCGGTTGCACTTGTGTGGGTGCATGACACACGCAGAATGGCGAGACGGCACTCCACTGTGCTGTATTCTGGGGCCACACAGAAGTTGTGTCTCAGCTGTGAGTCAAAACTCAATGACTGACCCAAGCATCTCACCAACACACTCTCTGTGTGTGTCATTCTCAAAGGCTCGAGTGGGGCGGCGGTGTTCTGCTCGATATCAAAATCAAGACGGTGAGTGCACACAGACAATCGATATCACACCATCGATGGTCGAGTGATATGCTCATCTCATGACGACAGGGGAAGACGCCATGGGACATATCCTTTCAACTTCAATGTCCCAGGGCGGCCAGGTCGGAGATTGAAGGGATCGTGAAAAAGTACAAGCGGTAGCCTTGTACTTGACGCCTTGTGAGACAACGATAGATTTTCTGGTCTGATGTGTGTGAAGTGTGTAAGGCCTTGTTTCTGTCTAGGGCCTGATAGACAGCAGCTGCCACTCTTGTCATGCGAGTGGCACACGGTGTGCTCATCGATCCGTGTGCAGCAGAAACCTTTGCACAAATCATGTCTGATGCGTCTCGATCGCGCACACAAATCTCACATCACATAAGAACACAGAAACAGACACCGACAGTGTCACCGTATATCTATTATTATGTCGGGTGTCGCTCGTCAGAGAAGTCGACTGTGATGTGATGTGCGCGTGAATGTCTCTCACAGACCCACGCTATGTAATTAGCAAAGGTGTCTCTGAGTGGATCTGCACAGAAACACAGACATCAAGGTCATGACACAGCGCCATGCCATTCATCTGCATGTGTGACATGGCCGACTGTTATGTATCTTTGATGTGTCACTCCAAGGGAGTAAGTGCATGGAGGACCCCATTCATTCGTTCATTCGTAATGTCTCGTACATGTGCGCTTGTGTCCTCCGTCGAGGCATCAAGCAGAAGAAACACACATGCTTACCATCACATGCATGCGCATGGCCGGAAAGATCGAAAAATAGACCATAAATACAAGCACACAAAACGCACACTGGCGTGTGATCCAAAAAGCAAGTAAGGGAGGAAGAAAGGGAGCGAGAAAAAGGAAACGAAAAAGATCTGTACCCACGACCGCCGCTCACGAAAAACATTCCAAAGTACGACAAGAACGAACACAACACTGAAGACCAAAAAGATGGATGGCAAGGCAGCGGCGCACATGACAGTACAGACCCGTGAATCGACGGTGTCTCAGCCCCTTCCCTTCTTGCCGGCCTTCCTGCCTTTCTTGCTCAGGCCCAGCTGTTGCACATATGGCTCGCGCACTGCTCGAACATCCTTCGGCCAGCCTGGATTCACACCATATCAAACAACACCACGAATGGAAACAAATGGATAAGTGGCTTCCTTTTCAGTGGGTCCATCGAGAGTGCTTCATGCACATACCGTCCTTGAGGATGGCCCATAGCCTGCGAGCAGGATAGCACCTCCACATCTCATACCCATCTCGCTCATTCTTCCCGCACAGCTCGTGGGCGCGCAAAGAGAAGCTCCATCCACCGCTCTTCAAGGTGAAGCCGAGCCCGTTTCGATATGTGCACCTGTCCGGCGCATCGTACACCTGGTCAATTCTCTTGAGAGGCCGGAACGCTGCACTGAACAGACCCACCCAAGGAGAGTACGGGAGCAATACGCACGGGTGATGTGTGTCTGTGTATGCGCGCGTGTGCGTGTGTACCTACCGTGCTCGCGCTTCATCCAGTGCTCTCGCAGCGGCCGTGCGGTGGGGCCTCCTTGGTGAACACCCACTTGCGGAACAGCAGGAACTGCTGCTTAAGCAAGCAACTGCTCCTGCTTCCCTAGCCTGTATGTCCACTGCAGGTCCGCGACAATAAGCTGGTTTCTTGGCCGCCTCAGCTCCCTCTTCTTCGCGTTCTCGGCGCTCTGCCCAGTACTTCTTGGATGCTGCGGAATGGCTCTTTCTGCCTTCGTCGCCGCTCTCTTGCCTCAGAACGGCGCTCCATTCGGCTTTCGCTACCTGCGAACAACAGACGGATACAGCAGCAGATCCACCGGTGCTAAAGAAGGTCAACATGCTGCTTTCTCACACATCTCGCAAGTGGGGCAGGTTGTAGGGTTTGGGCTACAGGGTTACGAACCCTGTTTTGGTTTCTGAATTTTCTCCCGAGGTTGTCTCTCTCTCTCTGTTCTCGTCGGAGACAGTCCACCTTACCTGCCAATCGAGATGGATTGCACGCCCGTGTCTGTGAAATCGCTTCTGCCGGGTGGCTTCTGCGGCGTTCTGCCCATTTCAGAGGTGAGTGGACACACACAGAGAGAGAGAGATCCATGTTGCAGCACGAACAATGGCACTTACATCTCAGAATTCGGCTCTTTTCATCGCGGCATCGCGGCAGAACCTGGACAACACACGCAGATGGGAGGTAGGTGCGACCTCACTCACCCTACGACACACAGATCATGCCACGCGACGCCTGCTTGCTGCTTGTGTATGCTCGTCATTCAGGACTGCCCTCTTGCGTCCTTGCAATGGGGATTCGTCGGGGCACACTTACACTGGAGTGGGCCACGCAGCTGCTGGACATGGGAGCCGACGCCAGCTTCACCACGGAGGACTCAGGGGAGAGCCTCATCAATCTGGTCATCAAGCATCACAGAACGGCTGAGAGTCTGTCCATTGTCCGCCTGCTCATCGAGAGGGGAGCTGACATCAACCATTGCGGCCAGTCGGATTATCTATGGGATCCTCGCGCCCGGCCGCCGATCCAGCAGGCCCTCGTAAAGGGCCGTTATGACGTCGCCCATCTGCTCCTGGATGAGCCCAATCTGAGCCTCACCGCATTGCGTGGTGGGCTGCTGTGGCGTGTGGCGGTCTATGCGCGTCATGGCACCGTGTCGTCTGCTGACAAGCTGGCCATGGTCAAGAAGCTCGTGAGGATCGGTGGAGCGGCGCTTATCAGCACTTCCTCGTCCCGGGGCTGCAACGCGCTTCACAGCTTCTGTGAGTATCCTCTCGCGTACCCCTCTGCTCAGCTTGCAGTCATCGCTTACCTCATCAACAAGGGAGGGCGGGAGATTGTTGACAAGAAGGATTTCTCGGGTCGCACCCCTCTCCACTACGCGGCTCGGAGCGGGTGCCCTCCAGTGGTGCTCCGGCTGCTGCTACGCAAGGGAGCGTCGATCACGGCAGCGCATCCCTTCTATCTGCACAAGGAGGCACAGGGGAGGCTGTTGACGGCATACCGTTACTACCTCCGCTGTGAGCTGCCGGTCCAGGTGAGCATTGCGGCGAAGACCGCCCTCCTGCCTGGTCGCGCGCTGGCCAGCACACCACTGCCGGATGGCGTCACTGATAGCATTGAGTGCCTCATCGGTCTGTCCAGCCCGCCCACTGTCGACATTCCCATCGGTGAGCAGCCCTTCGGCTGTCTCATCAATCTGCTGGTCAACGGCTACCTGTCATCAGCCTACGAGTGCATTCGGCAGACGGGCAGCACGGAGGCAATGGGAAGTCGGCTTGACGATGTGCTGCAGCAAGTGCGCGAGACAGCCAAGAGTGAACGAGGGCGGTTCGATGTTAAGCCGGTCGGCTGCCGCCGGGTGATCGAGCGCGCAGCGGGCGGAAATGGCTGGAGGGACGGGGGGGATACTGTCTGTAGTGTGAATATGTATGTGCACATGCTCGTGTACACTCTTTGTCATTAGCCCGTCTGCCTGTCTGCCTGCCAGCCTGTGTGCGTGAGCTCAGGATTTCGCCATGTATCGCTTTGTACCAGGGGATGTGACAATAGCGTATGTATGTATGTGTGTACGTGTGTATACAGGTGTGTGTCCATGTGTACAATATCTCTTTGTGCATGTCCATGACATTAGCCCGCCTGCCTTCCTGCCTGCCTACCTGTGTGCGTGAGCTCAGGTGGGTGTCTCGCGATACGTGTCGCGATCGATCGCTGTGTCGTGATTGATGTGTGACCGACCGACTGATATCGGTCGACCCATTTTGTACGTACGTAATTGACGTCTATGTGTGTACGTAACATACGTACGTAGGTATCACGTCTCACGGACAGGTGTGAGCTCTATATCGTGGGTCGATGGCTGACGGGCCGGCTGGCTTTGTTTCATACGTTGAATAAAGGTGATTGATTGGTCCTCTGTATGCTTGTATACAACACACAAATAGCAAACAAGACAGTCTTTCTTGAATCAATGAATGGATGGATGGATGCGCGATTGATGAGCAAACAAACGAATGACCGATTTCCTCATGTATCGCGTCACACGACATCCCTGCCACCTCGCTGCATGCACTCTGCACTGATCTCCTGGCTGTTCGCCCTTGCCCATTCGCACCTCAGCAACGAAGCCGATTTGCAAATGAGGTGGGGCTCCACCCAACAGCAGTAGTAGGAACACCGAAAGCAGGCGGCCACCGCAATCGCCGCATCCCTAGGATGCGTCTACCGTCAGCCTGCCGCAACTGTCCTCTCGGCGACACGTCTGATCTCTCTCTCGGCCGATGTCGCCCAACAGCACCACCCACTAGAAGCACCACACTGCCAGCATCAATGTCCACCGGCGGGCTAAGCTTCATAGTAGGCGGTGGGCACCGCATCGACCGAAGTGAGCTCCCGCTCGCCAGACTGCTGGGACAGCAGCAGGGCATGGTGCATTGGGTGGGTGGGGTGGGCGGATGCATAGGTGCGAAGCTGCATCCATGAGTGGAAGTAGTGGGCCGCAATGAGACCCGCTGCTGCGCCGACAGCCACGTCGGACAGATGGTGCCGATTGTCCGTCACACGAGATACGGACACTGCAGCAACAAACCGGGCAACAAACCACACACACGCATCACGTCTGTGGGCTGAGTCCGGGTCTCTCACCTGTGATGGCGACCAGGGCAGCGGCTATGTTACAAAGCTGATGAAGGGCCTGCAGTGGAGCACAGGCAACAGTTTGTTGTGTGTTGTATGCACAAGACAAGGGCTGAGGATCATGGACACACACGCTTCGCCTCACCGGCGCCTTCTTCGGCGGCCAATGATGCCTTAAATAAAGCTGACAAGACACACACGGCAGACGGATACGGCCTAGAGAGAGGTGGATTATCAAGATTTCCTCTCTCCCTCCTGCCTGACTGCCTGTCTGTCTTCCTGTCTGATCGAGTCACTCACCACTAACAGGCCCATTGCATAGAAGCTGCAGGCGGCATGGCCAGATGGGAATGAGAGACGACCTGTGGCCCGAACACAGAGATCACAGACGACGAGTGAGGCAGTCTGTCTGGTGTGAGTAGGTCCATCTCACCCTGCAGGATCGTCCGTTCGTCGCCCTTACAGACACCAACCTGATATCCTGCACACACACACACACACGTATGTTCGCGTGCCGGCTGTGTCGGCGCAGCTGGTTGGCTTACCGACCTTACCGACCAGGATAGAAGTCTTGCGGCTGATACGGGGCATACTTCGGCTGACACCTGCTGATAAAATCAGGCCGCAACCTGCCCACCATCTTCTTAGTAAGATCCACAGCGATGCCCAGCACAAACAAGCCCAGTGTGCTGCCATATAGCTGTCGTGACCAGGCCACTCTCGGCCGCAGCCTCAGCCAGAACAGATCAAGACACAGTAGCAACACCTGCAGCAGTTGCCAAGCGAACAAACGGTACATTCATGTGTGTGGCTGATGGTGTGGCTGCTGGCTGACCAGGGTGGCAGCAACAATGGCCGCGAGCGTCCATGCAGGTACGATCTCTCCGCTCTTCATCGGCGAAGATATCGAGGTGTCACTGAAACAAACACACGCACAGTTGACGAGCTCACCATCCACAGCGACTCATTCATCCCATTCATCTGTCATCTCCCTCACCCTTTGAAGAACGACCTCTTGACAGCCACGCCAGGCACCAGTTCTGCGAAGGCAGCAGCAAGGCCAACACCCACAAATAGCGCCCCATCGGTCCAGTGCGCCACGGCACCCGCAGCGTTGCCCCGCATTTCCTCGTAGGGCCCCTCTACGTCCACCGACACGTCGGCCTGCTTCTCTGCGGCTGCTGTTGGCTGCGGTGCTGTGGACGAGTTGGGAAGGGCTGATGGATCTGGCTCATTGGACGACGGCCGTTGCTGCAGCTCACGATAAGACGGACCGTTGCCGCGCTTCTGCATCTTTGCCCATCTCCCTTGCCCTTCTCTCCTTTGAGAGGGAGGCGGGTCGCTAGGGTGCTCCATGAAACCGCTACTCCGAGGTGGGCTCAAGCGGCAGTTCTTTTCTTTTCCTTCGTCGGAGCTGCTACAGGAAGGTAATCAGAAGTAATCATGGTGTGGATCTATGAAGGCACCGACGGATCATCTATCACCTGTGATGTTTCGTTGCAGCTGGATCTTCCATTCGTTTGTTGTGACACGCACAGCAACTCGCTCTCACGTCATCGAGTCACATGGGAGGTTAGCCTGACGAAACAGTGCACCGGCGCCGGATACAGGACCTTGGTGTGTGTATGTGACTGAATGCAGGACTCATCTCAACCCATGACACGTCCCGGGATGATGGCAACGACATTCTCATCCTTCCTGATGGCACCAACGCTGTCGCCTCTCACGAGATCGTCGACGGCATCAGGGACGGCACTCTCACTCTGCACAGGGCAACTGATCTGCTCGTCAACGAGGGAGCCAGCGCCCATTGCATTGTGAGAGTTGGGAAGGGGTCTCGCAGCCCCATCCAGCTGGCCATCGAGCATCACAGGACGGCTGACAGTGTGGCCATCCTTCGTTTGCTCATCGAGAGAGGAGGCCCTGACATCAATTACTCCGGCGATGGTAACCTATGGGACCCGCCTGTCAGGATGGCGATTCGTTGTGGTCGATATGACTTGGTCAACCTGCTGCTCGACTGTCCGGATGCGCAGCTGAGAGAACTGGGGCTGCTCTGGTGTGTGGCGTTCTACGCACGGGGGGGTGCCGTGTCAGCCGCCGAGAAGCTGGCCATGGTGAAGAGGCTGGTGAGAGTCGGCGGAGTGGCGCTCATCAGGGAGGGCGGCGGCCCCGGCAATGCGCTTCACTGGTTCTGCCGGTGGCCTCTCGCCGACCCGTCTGCTCAAATGGAGCTCATCGCTTATCTTGAGCACAAGGCTGGACGGCCGATCGTTGACGAGATGGATTCGGCAGGCAGGACCCCTCTCTTTCTGGCCTACGAATCGCACTCTCTGGCGTCTGTCCGGCTGCTGCTGCGCAAGGGGGCGTCTATCACGGCAGCAGGCGTGACGCCCGAGGGCCTGCGAGAGGCAGGGAGAGTTGGACAAGAAGAGATAAGGTGGACGAGAGCAATCGTATACTGCGGCTATCTGCGTCGCGATTTCCCGAGGCAAGTGAGCATCCCCGTCAAGACGGCCCTGCTGCCCATCCGAGCACTGACGAGCACCCGCCTGCCTGCGGACGTCATCGCGCGCATCGCGCAGTTCACTCTCGCCCCACGTGTGAGGGTTGTCATCCCCATTGGTGAGAGGTTCCTCGACATTCGCATCAACCGGCTGGCCAACGATTGCGTTTCTGCTGTATATCACAGCGTCCGAGAGACCGGCGGCCCGCAGGACATTGTGGCTCACCAATATGCCGACTTGATGCGGGAGATCCGTCGGACTGCCAGCAATCTGGTAGGGTGGTTCGAGGCGTTTTATCCTCCCAAACTCGCCAGGCACACTGCTGTATGTGTGCGGGTTGCTGGCCAGGAGTTTGTATTGGTAGCCGACAGACGCGGCTCTTCAGGGTGTTGACGTGGCTGGCGGCTATACTGGCAGCTGAACTTTTTATGAATAGTTGCTTTTTATAGCGTGCAATGTTGTGTACAATGTGACAGCCATTGGGGCAGGTCGGTATGCTGGACTGTGTGCGTGAACGACAGTGTCTTCGTGACAGTGTTCTGTGTCATTCCCAAACCCTAGTACCACCTTGAGGACACATATCCAACTTATTCGTTGGAACGTGTCTTATGGCTGTGTCTGTGTGTGCAAGCTGTATATATACGAGCTCTGCGTCCGCTACTGCCACGAAGAGAAGGATTTGTCTACATGAAAGAACCATGAGATGCGACTAACATCCGGCCGCTGAATGCCTACCATCAACAAACACGCGCCCGATATAATGATTATTATACACATCTATCAACACAGCATGCAGCGAAATGAAAACACAACCGAAAAATACGCAAGAAGTGCAGTACTCTGCTGGTGCATGCCTCACTCCCAGTGTGCAAGTCGCCTCGTCAGCCACTCTCGTGCTCTCTGAATGCTGCCCTCTACAGTGTCACGCTTCAGCCGGCCCGCAATGGCGCCCAGCGCATCAACCAGACCGACATACCTGGACATCAACACACGCACACAGACAGGCACGAGCTTGGCTTATTCGACTGCTTTCTTTCCTTCTCGCTTTGTTGGGTATCAGTGAGGCCAACACACCTTTTGTGTGGGTCGAATCGGATGGCGTGGTAGAGTTTCTGCAGGCACACCGGGCAGAGGACAGAGGGGCGGCTGGCGGCCTCCAGGGCGTGGTTGCTGCCGTTCATGAGGCACTTGTAGTACACGCAGTGCTCCATCCCGAAGATGTGCCCGATCTCGTGTGTCATCGTCTGCATTGCCCGCCACAGCTGCATGGCACACGTGGATTCACAACACAACACAGCACAATACCAAAAGACAGTGAGTGTTGTCTCCCTCCCTCTCCCTATCTGTCTCTCTCTCACACACACCAGTGTAGCGCTTGTCTGCGGGCCAGGTGCCATTTCGCCGTAGAAACATGGGTCATGACGGGCGAAAGAAAACACACCGACCTGCATAGGTGAGAGCAAATGGAAACAGGGATGGATGGATGGATGCAGACAGAGACAAACCACTCACCCTTTCCATCGGCCTGGCCTGCCCGAACACAAAGTTCCACTCCTCGCCCTGACGACAGACGCACACGTGCACACACGCACCCATGCGAACAGCCGCACATCAGCCCGTCCCTCCCTTCCCCCGATTATCTACCGGATAGATGTCCTCCATAGTGAAGCCCACAACACAGAAGGCCCTCCGATGCCCCAGCACCTCTCGATGGGAGCCCATCAGCTGGAAGATGTCACCAATAAGATACTGCCGGTGCGTCTCGGCACCCTGTCTGCTCTCGCGGCTGCGGCAGTTGTGCAGCGATAGTGGCTTCGACAGCATGGCCACCTCCATACCGTCGTAGAATGCCCCGCAGTAGAGCCGCAGCAGCTCACAGAAGCCATCGGGCAGCGTCTTGTCGGTATTAATTCGGTCGCCCAGCGGCACCAAGAGGATCGTGTTGGTGTGCTCTGTCGGCAGCCGGCTCTTCATCCGTCGCATGTAGGCCCGCACCGTCTGGCCGGTCTCTCTGTGTGAGCCCAGCCAGTCGTGCCGCCCTGGTTTCGGCAGCCTGCATGCAGCGGTGGCACGCACAGAATGGCGTGTGCATGCATGCATCAGAACTCTGTGTTGTGTGTGTACCCACCGCTCATAGAAGGAATCCGATGACGACAACGCCTTTCGTAGCGGAGAAGCCACGTCCGACAATTGCCCGACAGCGTCAGCACATGCGGCGTCGCTCACGTACATCGGGCGGCTTGGTGAGGCGTGCGGGGATGACCGTCACGCTTTTGAGCTGAAGAAAGACAGACAAGCAGATCAGCATCCGATCATACCGGCGAGGACAACCCACAATGTTGCATGAAAACACCGCATCAACGTCAGGGTTAGGGTTCTAGGACTCGAGCTCGCAACGCATATTCCCGCGTCGCCACCCGTCTACTGCAGCATCCTGTAGCGAAGCAGCGGCGAAAGACCGCAAAATAGTACGCACACACTCGAGAGTTGCTATTCATTCGTGCTGTTTGTTTGTTTGCTGTCATGCAGGCGTGCAGGCGTCATCAGGTTCAGATGGGATCTGCTGTGTGCAAGTGTGTAGTGTGCCACGAGGACTATCTCGCGTGTGGCGACAGGGCGCCTCAAGTGCTCAGATGCGGTACGAGAGAGAGATCGGATGTGAACAGAGCAGCACACACGTACACACGAAATGGATGGATGGATGGATGGGTTGCTTGTGTGTGTTGGTCCGCTCTCTCAGGGCGCTCGATCTGCGGCCAGGTACGGGCGCAGCCATGACCACATTCGTATTGCACAGAATATACTTTTGGTTCATTCAGTGTGTCGGGCAGCTCATCGACCACCACCCCCATGGCCGTCGCGCAGCCATCTGCCCCAAATGCAGGTAAATAGGTAATCAATCGAACGAAAATCACAGTAAGCATTGATGCATGTGTTCCCATGTCTGCTGGTTGGCTCACATGAGTGCAGGAAGGAGACCGCGGAGACTGACGTGAGTCCCAACCACGACATGCGAGAGCTGCTGGCCTTTTTGGCGCCGACAGGCTCCCTCACGTGAGCGAGAAAAGGGCGCAGAGAACGGCTGTGCCATTCCGTGTCGGTTCTTTGGTGCATGGCTGTGTGCAGGTGGGCTGCGCAGTGGCTGGGCTACACGCTTGTCTGGATGCCGCTGCGGGTGGGCATCTCTCTGCTGGGGCACGCCGACACAGAGGAAATGTACTATGTACTATGTGTACATATTATGGTGAATTATGTGTACATACTTGATACACATACCTATGTGACGTCTGTGCGTGTCTGCGTGTGTGTGCGCATGTCGGTGTGTGTGTGTGCTGCCGAAAGGCGACATGGACAACGAGAAGAGTCGGTCTGCACTGCGTGTCTTTGCTTGTTATCAACCGCGTGGATGAGTGTGTTCTCTCTCGTTCATCGACTCATTGGATAAACCAAGTCACGAATGCAACCGATAAAGGCACACACACGCATACCCAAACAGACGCAGCAGAGAAGCCCTCTGCCAGAGATACGTACGCTCATTCAGTCTGATCGGTTTCTGCCTCCCAGAGCGGCAGCATACATACCGACACATACCTACCAATAAAACACTAACCCAAATCCATGATGAATACTACCCGTCAGCTGCTGCACATAGGTACCGTCAGCCAGCCGGGATGCGCCCCATCGGCTTTGAGCTCGGCACAACCTCGCATTCTTTCTCCACCTTGAGCTCGGGGCTTGTTCTGGTTTACTCATGTTCCTGTTGCTTCGGCGGCTGCTCTAGTGGCTGAGTAGGCAGCATAGGGATCTTCGGGGGCCGGGTCAGGGATCCCTGCTGCTGGCCCCTGCTGCTGCTGGTCGGACCCGGCAGAAATTGGCCTGGGGGTCCCGACTGCTGGTTGCTGCTGCTGCTGCTGCTGGTCGGCATTGATCCGGGGCATGTCGCCGCAGTCACCGCCGTCCCAGCCGCACTCCTCAGTGAAGCACTCGGGGTCGCACATACCGTCGGCGTACCAGTACTGTGACCGACACATGCCGCTGCAGGTGGAGGGAATCGACGGTGACGCTGATGCTGATACATTAGACAGAACACACATGCGGAGAGGAAGAACGGTGTGTGCATGTGGCTGTGTGATGTGGTGTACGGACCGCATGGTTGTGTGTTGCATTCCTCAGTCTCTTCGAGGTCGGGACACTGCTCGCCGTCATCGGACGGCTCAACCTGTACCAGACAGAGAACAACACCCAGCCGTGTGTGCACATCACAGTTTGTTTGTTTGTTCTTGTGTACCTCGACTGTTCTGTTTCTGGTCCTGGAGCCGCCGCCGCACGACTTGGAGCACTCAGAGAAGTTGCCCCAACCACCCACCTTGCAGTCGACCGCTGCACGCAAGAGACACATGTAGACTCTCTCCATTCCCCTGCCTGTCTGTCTGTCTGTCTGACTCACTGACCACACGGGTCTTCGTTGCATGCCCTCTCTTCTGACAGCTCGGGGCACGGCGCACCGCCAGACTGATCAGGCTCCTGCGGGGCAGCAACAAGAGACACGCAGACGTGCGGACGGTTGATACGGTAATCAGCCGTAATCGGGTGCGTGCATACTGACCACGACTGTTCTGGTCCTTGATTGTGTGCCTCCGCCGCACTGCTCTGAGCACTTGTCCCACCCAGACCAGTCAGACACCGTGCAGTCCGTCCCTACGTTAAACAACGACATCCATGCGTTCACACATGTGGGTGATGCTTATTTGTGCCGAGAGCTTCCTTACTGCATGGTTGTGTGTTGCATTCCTCAGTCTCTTCGAGATCGGGACACTGCTCGCCGCCGTCGGACGGCTCAACCTGCAGATACATACAGAAATGCGTGCCCAGACAGACAATAAAAAGGTATCCAGACTCTTGAACAGGTTGTTCTTGTGCACCTCGACTGTTCTGTTTCTGGTCCTGGTGCCGCCGCCGCACGACTTGGAGCACTCAGAGAAGTTGCCCCAACCACCCACCTCACAATCGACCGCTGCACAGACACATGATGGACTCTCCCTCCTCCATGGCTGCTTGTCTCACTGACCACACGGGTCTTCGTTGCATGCCCTCTCTTCTGACAGCTCGGGACACGGCGCACCGCCAGACTGATCAGGCTCCTGCGGGGCAGCAGCAGGAGACACGCAGACGTGAATTCATGACGCACCAGTATGCCCATAAATGAGTACTGACCACGACTGTTCTGGTCCTGGATTGTGTGCCTCCGCCGCACTCTTCCGAGCACTTGTCCCACCCAGACCAGTCAGACACCGTGCAGTCCGTCTCTGCACCGATCAACGACATCCATGCATTCACACACACGGATGACGCTCAGAGAGGTCCCTTACTGCATGGTTCGGTGTTGCAGTCTTCCTCCTCACTGAGTGGGGGGCACTCCTCACCGTCGTGCTGGGGCTCAGTCTGACACACACACGACACACACATACGTCTCTCCGTCCGTGGTGAGTGTGGGTTTGCCTTACGGTGATTTCTCTGCCTCGTCTCCGTTTGCCTCCGCCGCAGTCTTTGGAGCAGGGCGACCATATCGACCAGTCACCCACCACACACGCTACAGCTGATGTCACAACAGGGGGGACACACAAGACATGTGCAACGGATGCCCAATGTGTCTTTGTGATGCGTACGGCAAGGTTGTTCGTTGCACGGCGCCGTCTCTTCGAGTGCGGGACACTCCTCACCGCCGCCCTGCGGCTCGGCCTGCATATACATGGATGCACACACGAAATGCATCGATGACGCACGTACGAGTGTGAGTGGTGTGTGGACGTACTTACCGTGACTTCTCGTGTTCTCTTCTTGACGCCCCCTTCGCACGACTTGGAGCACTCACCCCAATCCTTCCACTCGCCAACCGCACAGTCGCGAACTGACAAACCATAGACACATCCATGTGTTAGCCGTGTGAGTGTGCTGACGATGAGGGTACCGACCTTGGAAGCACTCGTCGTTGTCTCCGCGGACGTAATTCTCTGCACAGACGCACTTGCCCACCCCGCTGCCGGCGCCCGGCTCGCCCTCGGGGACCCGCTGCACCTGCACACACACACCAACGACAGACACACAGACGGACATCCGTGTACGCATCTCTTTGTGTGTGTGGCTGGCTGGGTTCGTCCTTTACCTCGCAGACTTCGTTCTCCTCTTCTGAGCATTCGATCGTCGAACACAGAGACTCACAGCGACCGAACCTGCAGAGAGCCATTACACAACACACATCCATCCATCCATCCATGTGTGTATTCGTGAGCTGACCCGTCGTCTTGCGATTGGCAGGTCTCATTCCACTCGCAATAAGACGCCAGTTCAGTGCAATTCAGACCTGGACACCATCGCACAGACACACAATCTCACCCACATCCAGGGGCCGAGTGGTTGTTTTGTCAACACGCACCAGGTTCGCAGTCGCCTCCGTCGAATCCGCATGCATAATTGTAGCACGTCAAGTCACACACCGAATCGTTGACCCACTCCAAATCACGGCAGTCCCCAAAACACGTCTCGGGAATGTCCAGCCTGTTGGTGCCGTTTTCTGTCTGCTGACCGTCAGGCTGTCGAGTGTGGTCTGGCTGAGAGGCAGAAGATGCTGGTACGGGTGGACCGCCCGTCTCATCGTCCTTGGCGCGCACTGGCGGTGGCGAGAGGGGAGCGGCCGGAGGGGTGGGAGCAGCTGGGGCGGGCGGGGGCACCGTGGACGACTTGGACTGCTGGTTGGCATTGATTCGCGGACGGCCGGCGCAGTCATCGCCGTCCCAGCCGCACTCCTCTGAGAAGCACTCCATGTCGCAGACCGTGTCGTTAAACCAGTGTGACGGGCAATCCCCATTGCAGCCGGAGGGAATCGACGAGGGGGACCCTGATGCTGACACACACACACACACACACACACACAGATGCATGAGCACGTGTACGTGTGTATTTCGTACCTTGCAGCCGCCTCCTGCGCTGTGTGATCTTCCTGATGTGGCTGCTGCTCCCCC